TCCTGCTTGCTTATCCCATATAAGCCCTAAACCACCAGAGATCAGGGCCTGATATTCTGGGAATGATCCCGATCAGTGCCCATCAACGTAAATATATCTGCCTCCAAATCTTGGGTGCCATTTCAGTGTTTCTGCTTGCCATTGCATCCGGTGCACCAGCTAGGAAGACTGACCATGCTGACCTCTTTGGTCACTGGTTGTTTCTCTCACACACAGAGCAAGGACCTTTCCAGATCCTCATGGGAAGGTGCATCCTCAAGATTTCTCGAGTCCCTCAGAGGTCTGGAGGAGGATTCCAGGCTTCCTACTCAAGTGACTCACATCAGAGCCCAAAAAGAGGAGGACACAATCTGTCTGTCAGTCTGATTAACTGCCTGATTCCAATAAGATCCCTGAGGCACCCCAGTTAGTCTGTTGATCAGTCCTGCTCAACTGGAGCAGAAAAGGAGTCTGATCAACTCCCATTAGTCAGGACCACCCTCAAGGGAAGGGTGTTGGAATGTTTAACCACTGAGGGCCTGCTGAATGAATATGTGAGTGAGAGCAACAGGCAGCATAAGCCATAGGCCGCTCTGTCTATGCACCAAAACTGGGAAGAGGTCGAGGAAGCTGACTGGGCTTCACCTGCGGTTCTGTGGCAGTCAGCATATGGCATAACAGAGGCCTCGCACCCTCCTTAGCTGAGTCACATCTAAATCCCTGAGAAGGGCACATCCAGGCAGGCACCTGAATGGTCTTCTCTGAAGGGCACCCACTCTTTGTTGCACCATCATTCAAGGGTACACAATACACATGTAGGAAGTTAGAGATGGGAACTAATTAGTCAAAACCCACAATCCAAAGGGCTTTTATGGAGTGAAAAATGAAACCAAACCATTCCCTGCATCTCAAAGGAGAAAGAGGTCCATTCTTCCTGAAAATTCCACCTTGGCACCCTCGAGGGTTACTACAATTGCTGCCAACACCTGTAGCTTCACACCCCGATCCTGACTCATCTACTTCCAGCCAATTGAACTGGTCCCAGCCAACCATCGCCTGCATCTGGCCATAGGTCCCCTGCCCACTGAACCTTCTGCTTCATGGCTACACCTATCCTGGTCAGATGGCATTATCTGACGTCCACCTGAGATGACTGTCAGGAGTTCCTTCTGAGTTCCATGTTTTCACTGAGGAAAACTGGGTTGTCAGCCCTGACGAATGAGTTGCCATGGCCTTTGCAAAGGTTGCCTCACCTAGAAACAACCCAGTTGAGCACTTCTCAAAGACATCAAATAGGGGGACAAAAAGTTTATCAACTACTGTTACCCAGAAACCTGACTTTTTTTAAAAAAAAAAAAAGCACCTGATATCTGTAAGAAAATCCAGTCTGACAGATGACCATACACTCCAGCTATGAGTTATAAGGACTGTGGCCACTAAAAAAATAAATAAAAAGATATGAAATTTCAAAAGCTTCAGTTTGGTCAGATGACAACCCTTTCATCAGTCTGATGGGCTCAGACTAGGCCAGACCAGGCTCCCTTCTTCATCTGGGCCACTGAGATCCCATAGTACCATCATCAGGGCAACTAGGACTCTTGCCTCTCATCTTTTCTTCCAGGTACAAACTTACAGCCTGGGAGGACATCTCCTGTATAATCCAGTCCCCATACTCCTTCTGGGAAGAGACCTCCTCTTCAAGTTAGAAGCAACCATCTCCTTTGCACCAAGCTAGTCAGCCTCCCTCTCATTTAACCCTGCACTTTCAACCTGGACTGTTCCCCAAAAGGAAGATGACACCTGCATCAGCCTGAGACAGATAACCACAATCCTGAAGTTCTCAAAACTCTCCTCCCAGAAGTCTGGGCCTGGCCATCAAGCATGCTGCCTTACCATGATCCTCATTGCTGTCAGATGTCACAGAAGCACAAACAGGCATCCAGCCACCCAGCAGTTTGAGATCCTGATATACTGTTAATCACCTTGGGCAAGATTTCCATGCCATCAACAGTGCAGTCATCATCTTACATTCTGTGGTTCCTGACCCCTTCACCCTTTTTGGACTGTTATTCAAGTACCACAGGGTTTGGGAACTTCCCACTGTTTTCAAGGAGGCTCTGACAACAGATTTGACTGCACTGAGATAGCTGTTTCTCTGTCCCTTCCAGCTCTGCAATTCTGTCACTGTCCCCTGGGCCCTGAGATTGAGCCATTGACTACCTGCCTCTCGTTGTGAAATTCCATCCTGGGGCAACCCTGCCTGTATCAAACAGTATCCCATGCCACAAGAGACTCTGCTAGAAATTCAACCACACATCCAGAGGTTTAAAAACCACAAAATTTTTATAGGCTGTCAAACTGCTGAAATATACCTCTCCTGCCTGTAAAATCAGCTCAAGATCTCAGAGCTGCCAATGCCACCACAACTGCCCTCCATGTATGTTGCCTCAGTCTTCTGCCACCCACAGCCTGCTGGTACACATGTCTGGACCTGAAGAATGCCTTCTTCTGCTTTGCTCCTTTCAGCCAGCCCCTCTTCAAAAAGACCTCAGTTCTGGACTCAAAGGTTAACTGACCTGGCCTCAACCTCCAAGAGATTCAAAAACTTGTTTCTCTGCTACAATGTCTGGCAGAAACTGGTTTTTAAAAACTCTGCAAATTTCTTGGAGCTGCTGGCTTCTATAAAATCTGGATCCTTGAGTTCACAAAAACAATGATGCTTACTCAGACTGTCAGCCCCTGGGAGTGCCCAGTGGCCTACCTGTGCAAATACCTGGATCCAGTCACCAGGGGCTGCCTTCCCACTGTGCCTCCACACTTGACAGCCACTGTCCTTCTGATCAAGAAAGCTGACAAGCTCACCTTAGACTAAAACACAACTGTCCAGGTGCCACATGCTGTACTGGGATAAACTGTTCTAAAAAATGGATCCCTGACAGATGCTGAGTACACCATGTTTACGGGTGGAAATAGCTCTGTTAAGAATGAAATCCAACAGGGTAGATATGATATGATCATCCTGGATAAAAGTACTTTGGCCAAAACTCTCCTGCAGGGATGATCTGCACAGCAAACTGCTTCTTGCTGCTGTTTGGAAATCTGCCACCAACAACACAAAATAATCCAGGCCAGAGGATTAAGCCTCCTCTGGGGATCCAATTGACTGAAACATCAATCCCAGCCACCAGACCTGTCCCACTTTATGTTCTGCATGCTTAAGCCATTGCACTGGCACCCATACCTCTGCACCCAGCTCAGGCTTCAGCATCTGTGTCAGCGGGCCTGACTTCCCATCCCTACCCATATGGAGAATACAATAAAAGTTTGTAGGGTCTTGCTGTAAAACAGTCATCCCTAGATATGGTCTACCCTGGATCATTGGAACAACAATGGGCCTGCATTTGTAGCAGTGGTAACTCAAAAGCTTGATTAAATAAAAACTACATACAGCATACAGGCCACAAAGCTCTAGAAAAAAATTTTTTAAATACAGCTTGTAAAAAAGACCAGCTATATTTGTAGGCAGTTAAAAGACCAGCTATACTTGTAGGCACTCCTGCACATACATATAACCCAGGTACATACTAACTACCTCTACAAGTTTCAGAAAGCCCACCTTAGATCCATTGGAGAATTTACCCGGGCAGCTCCTCCGAGGCTCACTGAAGAGACAACGCACTCAAAGCCCTGCTCTGGTCACTCTGGATGCTGACCAGTCCACACAGGGCTGAAGCCTGAGGACACTGCTCACAGAATTGCTCCCTATCTATTCTCATAGATTTTTGTGTCTTTTTAGACTGATTATCCCAGTCCCTGCTTCCCTGCTTCCCTGCTCCCCTGCTCCCCTGCTCCCCTGCTAGATGTGTTTTTTGTTAATTGACCTGGTTTCTTTTTACTCCAGTCTTTACTTACCCACCCTCTGCTAGCTGTGTTTTTTGCCTCTATGGATGGTTGCCCCAAGAAAACAGATCAGTCAAACACTTGACCAAGATTTGATGATCATCCAAGACACATTGGACACTCTCCTAGATTAGAATAACTCCCTCACTACCTTGCCAGAGTAACATTAAAGGACAGGCAGGCCTCAATTATGTCTCTTCCTAAAAATAATTTAGGAAAAAGCTCTATAATAAGATAATCTGAGAGAACTTGGCTATGGCTCATCCTAGGTCACTAAACCCTGTTACTGCTTATAGTTGGGCCTTCTCTCAGAAGGTCACATGTAATATGCCCAGCAAAGATTTGCTGAGGAAACTAAAAGGGAGGGTAAATATAGTAGAAAATGCCTTCCTCTGGCCAGTATGCTTCAGTTCCTTAGTTACCCAGGTAATAGTTCCTGTTCCAGTTCCTGTTGCTCCTGTCTCTTAAAAACAGCTGGTCACGGTGATGCGCATTGTATAAACTAATCCCCAACTGACAACCCATTCTACCTCTGTATTTCCTGCTTTCTTATCCCATATAAGCCCTAGACCACCAGAGATCATGGCCTGATATTCTGGGAATGATCCCAATCAGTGCCTATTGATGTAAATAAATCTGCCTTCATATCCTGGGTGTCATGTTGGTGTTTCTGCTTGCTGCTGCAGCAGCAGGAAATAGGGAGGGGGGTACCTGCTCAAACTCTCCTTCAACAAACCTCCTTCTCCAACCCCTTCCAGTCCTACCAGAAGATTCTGGTTCCCTCCCATGACATGAGGTAAATGGTAGGGCTTCATTCATTTGTCCATGTATGCAGCCAGGGTTTGTTAAGTTCATGCTGCGTGCCAGGCACTGAGAATGGAACAGAAAATAAAAAAGCCAATCAATTCACAACACCAACAAAAATCCCTGCCTTTTTGTACCCTGCATTCTAGCTTGGGAGATAGAAAGTGAATAAATAATTAGATGTAAAGTAAGTTGGAGAAGTGCAGCAAGAAAATGAAAACAGAGGAAGGAGATATAACGTGCCAGGGGTGGTGGAAATTTCCAGGCTGAAGTTACTTTTGAGCAAAGATGAGGAAGTGCAAAAACAAACATGGGCGATGGAGGGGGGCGCTTTGTGCAAAGGCCCCAAGGATAAAGCAAGGTGAAGGATGCAGGCAAGTAGGAGACAAGGACAGGGAAGCGTGGCGGCCAGAGCAGGGGCAGTGATCCTGGGGAGGTTTGGTGGTAGCTGACTTTGCCACAGAGGCAACGAAGAGATCTGAGAGGAATGTTGACATCACTCACTGCTGCCTGGCTGGAAGGATGGGCCCAGTCTGTCTCTTGCCTTCCACCCCCTCCATTCAGCGCCCACTCCACGCTCCTCTCCGACAGACCCTCACCTGCCCTGACTTTTCTGACTCTTTTCAGGTGATAGAGGGGCAAGAAACTCCCAACCTGCTAGATGTCTGAAATGCCAACTTCATGCTCTCTAAAATCAAGGAGAGAATTCTAGGAACAAGGGAGGTTAAGAGCAGGAAGAACTTATTGAGAGAAAGCAAGCTTCTGTCTGAGCGAGACAGAAGCAGTTCTGGAAAACGGAATGCCTGCCAACCCTGCTTCTCAAGGGTGTTTATTGAGCATAGCGTGAAGGGAAGCAGGTATAATCAATCGATAAAATTACAAGTTTAGTCGCTTGGGTATAATGATCCAATAGGAAATCACAAGATTGGTGTGAGGTGGGCAAGACTATGGTGAACCAATAAGGTTACAGCAAGTATGGTCACTTGGGTAATACTGATTAAATGGGGATGAAATTGGGAAGCAAGTCCTGTAGCAAGAGCAATGGGCCAGACAAGGACTTTCCTGGAAGGGGTGGATTAAGGAGGTCTGCTCCTCCACCCCAAGGTGACTGCTTAAGAGTATCAGTCACTGCTGCTCATCCCTAAGGAAGTATATGGGTGAGTAGTTCTTTTTCTCCAAGCCTGGCCTCAGTGAAGGTGCCTCCAGCCTTCAGCGTTGTCTTCTGCATTGACCTCTCAAGGGCCCAGCCCTGTCTGACGGCCTATAATATTTCTACCTAACTTAGCTGGCTATAATGCTGGTTCCTCATGCTTCCCTGTCCTGTCCCAGGAAGCCAATCCACCTCCATCTTACCAGCAGCATGACCTGGGGTGAGTTACTTCACACCCTCTCACCCTCTTAGTGATGATGAGGACATCATGGGTCTCGAACTGGTGCTGCCTGGGCTCACTCCTGACCATGCTGCATGGCAGTGACCTCGGTGTGGGTCACTCCACAGAGGCCCAGGGCACCCTGGGCAGCACCCCTGAGCTGGGTGCTGGGGCCTCAGGGGACACAGAGCTGACGGGACTCCAATCCTCCAATCCATGAGGGTCCACAGGGCTTCCCAACACCACTCTGCAGAGACTTCTGGGAAGCCTGCTGAAGCTGGGGTCTCTTCCAGCCTGTGCCTGTCAGCTGCAGGGGCAGAATCATCCGGTAGGATCCGCCCCCTCACTCCGGAGCTGTGTAGTACTTGGGTGAGGTACTTGGCCTCTCAGCCTCCAGTTCTTGTCCGTGAGCCCCTGTGACTTCAATACCGACTGGGCAGAGAACCTCCTCCAGCTCCACCTTCTGATAAGTGCTCAAAGAAGTATCGATGCATTTCCAAAAGACGCCACAGCATGAAAATGACTGTACCACAGCCCTCAGGATCTCACCACAGAGGGCAGGGAGGGGAAGCACACAGGATCGAGACGCAAAGTGTCTGCAATTCCCCAAGATGACCGTATTTGTTCCATAGCACAAACATACAGTAATAAAAGGAAGAAAAAAGTTGGAGGACGTAGAGACAGCAAATACCTTACCTTCTTTATGACCACAAAGGTTAGATAAGCTTGAGTCCCCTTACTTTAACTTGAGGTCTCGGGCCTTTGCGGGGAGACCAGCTTTTTAGGTGGGTGGTGGCCAGCTCCTAGGAATGTCATCTTGCACTCCCCAAGATTTGGCTTTGGGGACCTGCAGCAAACACTGTTGCAGTGTGTGTGGATTCAAGGGAGCGCGCGTGTGTGTGTCCCTGCCACGGTGGCCTGCACCTTCCCGGAGCAGGTGAGGGAGGCTGCCCCCTCCCCAGTCCTGGCAGGGGATTCGCAGTCTGTGAGCCAAGAGGCTGTCTGGGGCTGTCTGGAGTGGTGCCAAGGGACGGACGAAACGACAGAGAACAAGCTCTGGGGCCATTTTCTTCTCTGAAAGGTCTTCATTTCCACACTAATTGCAATTTCAGATCGGCCTGGGTTTCAGACGGCCCTGCTTGCTGCGTCGGGCTGGCAGTCTTCTCTGGCTTGCTTCCTCCGCCTCTGTTTTCTTGGCCACACGTGGCCAGTCCCAAATTGACAGGGAAAAACACAGCTCTCCAAATTATCTGGGTTATTATGGAGGTTGGGACAGATCCCAAACAGGCTTCAGCTGCTGTAGACGCCGACCCGCTGCAGCCCCTCTCAACCTTCCTGCTCCCCCTTCACGCGCGTTTGCCGACTGGTGGGTTTGAGTCTTCCATCTCCCACAAGCTCGTGTGTGGAAGCTTGTTGCCTCGCTGTGGCCCTCTGGGGTGGTGGAACTTTTAGAAAGTGGGGCTTGGTGGAAGGAAGTTGACTCGGGAAGTTAGGTGCGCCCCAGAGAGGAACCCTGGGACCCTGTGTCCTTTCTGTTTCCGCGCTGCCACAAGGTGAACAGCTTTGTCCCCGTCCCTCTGCTCGGTCCCTGCCGCGATGTGCTGCCCCAAGCAACACAGCCAGCCCAGCACCGACCGTGTCTTGGTTACTTCCACTGGGACACAGCACCCGACACCTACAATTTGTAGAAGGAAACGTTCCTTTTGCCCTCCGGGTTCAGTCTATGGCCAGCAGACTCCAAAGCAGAAACAGTGTGGTCGAAGGGCCTGGCAGAGGAAAAGCGCTCAGCCGCGGCAGACGGGAAGCACGGAGAAGGGAGAGCGGGGACAAGAACACACCGCCCAGGCAGGCCCCGGGTGACCTAACCGCGCGTTCGGCTCTGAGCCCCTCAAATGGATGAACCCACTGAGGAGCCCAGCGCTGCACGTCCAAACACAGGAGCGTCGAGGGGAAACTTTTATCTAAGTCGTAACACGCAGAACCTCTGAAACCAGGAGCTAAACTAACCCTGTCCTCTTGTGAGTTGATTTTCTCAGGTGTTTCGTCACAGCAGGAGAAAGCTAACACACTGACTACAAGTACACCGCATTTTCCTCGGGCTTCTCCCAGCTGCTCCACAGCACAAGCAGCTCGGCAAGGCCAGAGCCGCTGGGTTTCAGGGCAGGCAGGCCTCCCGCTGGAAGGCAAGGGCAGGGCCGGGCCGGGCGGGCCTGCCGGGCCACGGAGCGAGACAGGTGGGGAGGAGCTCGGAGGGCCGCGGGGAGGCGGCTGGGAGGGGCGGCAGTGGACGCTCCAGCAGCACGGGCCGGAAGATTTCAGCAGCGCCGCGTCCCGGCGGCCTCAAGGCCCAGCGTTCGCGTGCCGAGTACTTGGCGGGAAACCAGGAACCGTCTCCGGTCTCGGCGCGCGCCAGGACGAGTCAGCGCTTTCCCGCGCGGGCCTGGGCCGAGGCTCCGTTCACTGACGGGCTCACCAACGCCCCCGCGGCTGCTCGGGTGTGCTTCCCACCCTTCTCTAGCGGTCAGGAACTGCACGACTGCGAAGTGCGTTTCAGGAGCCCGGCTCCCACTCGGCGCGCGCCGGGGCTGGTCTGCTCGCCGACGGCTGACGGGAAGGAACGCAACCGTTTTTTTTTTTTGTTTTTTTTGTTTTTTTTTTTTGGTTTTTCTCCGGTACCGGGAACCGAACTCACAACCTTGCGCTTGCCAGGCAGGCGCTTTTGCCGCTGAGCTAA